ATGCAGATCTCCTCTAGAGCAGTGATGTTTTGGGGCTGTCGCTGGGCAACACGGACTTTCAACTCCCTCCAAAGATTTTCTATGGGGTTGAGATCTGGAGACTGGCTAGGCCACTCCAGGACCTTGAAATGCTTCTTACGAAGCCACTCCTTCGTTGCCCGGGAGGTGTGTTTGGGATCATTGTCATGCTAAAAGACCCAGCCACGTTTCATCTTCAATGCCCTTGCTGATGGAAGGAGGTTTTCACTCAAAGTCTCACGATACATGGCCCCATTCATTCTTTCCTTTACACGGATCAGTCGTCCTGGTCCCTTTGCAGAAAAACAGCCCCAAAGCATGAAGTTTCCACCCCCATGCTTCACAGTAGGTATGGTGTTCTTTGGATGCAACTCAGCATTCTTTGTCCTCCAAACACGATGAGTTGAGTTTTTACCAAAAAGTTATATTTTGGTTTCATCTGACCATATGACATTCTCCCAATCCTCTTCTGGATCATCCAAATGCACTCTAGCAAACTTCAGACGGGCCTGGTCATGTACTGGCTTAAGCAGGGGGACACGTCTGGCAATGCAGGATTTGAGTCCCTGGCGGAGTAGTGTGTTACTGATGGTAGGCTTTGTTACTTTGGTCCCAGCTCTCTGCAGGTCATTCACTAGGTCCCCCCGTGTGGTTCTGGGATTTTTTTGACCCCACGGGGTGAGATCTTGCGTGGAGCCCCAGATCGAGGGAGATTATCAGTGGTCTTGTATGTCTTCCATTTCCTAATAATTGCTCCCACAGTTGATTTCTTCAAACCAAGCTGCTTACCTATTGCAGATTCAGTCTTCCCAGCCTGGTGCAGGTCTACAATTTTGTTTCTGGTGTCCTTTGACAGCTCTTTGGTCTTGACCATAGTGGAGTTTGGAGTGTGACTGTTTGAGGTTGTGGACAGGTGTCTTTTATACTGATAACAAGTTCAAACAGGTGCCATTAATACAGGTAACGAGTGGAGGACAGAGGAGCTTCTTAAAGAATAAATTACAGGTCTGTGAGAGCCAGAAATCTTGCTTGTTTGTAGGTGACCAAATACTTATTTTCCACCATAATTTGCAAATAAATTCATTAAAAATCCTACAATGTGATTTTCTGGAATTTCTTTTCTCATTTTGTCTGTCATAGTTGACATGTACCTATGATGAAAATTACAGGCCTCTCTCATCTTTTTAAGTGGGAGAACTTGCACAATTGGTGGCTGACTAAATACATTTTTTCCCCACTGTACATATTTAGCAGATGTTATTGCAGGTGTAGTGAAATGCTTGTGTTCCTAGCTCCAACAGTGCAGTAGTACCTAACAATTCACAACAATACACATAAATCTAAAAGTTAAAGAATGGAATTAAGAAATATATCAATATTAGGACGAGCAATGTCCGGAGTGGCATTGACTAAAATACAGTAGAATAGAATACAGTATATACACATGAAATGAGTAAAGCAGTATGTAAACATTATTAAAGTGACTAGTGTTCCATTATTAAAGTGACCAGTGATTCCATGTCTATGTATATGGGGCAGCAGCCTCTAAGGTGCAGGGTTGAGTAACCGGGTGGTAGCCGGCTAGTGTTGGCTATTTAACAGTCTGATGGCCTTGAGATAGAAGCTGTTTTTCAGTCTCTCGGTCCCAGCTTTGATGCACCTGTGCTGACCTCGCCTTCTGGATGGTAGCGGGGTCAGCAGGCCGTGGCTCGGGTGGTTGATATCCTTGATGATCTTTTTGGCCTTCCTGTGACATCGGGTGCTGTAGGTGTCCTGGAGGGCAGGCAGTGTGCCCCGGTGATGCGTTGGGCAGACCGCACCACCCTCTAGAGAGCCCTGCGGTTGCGGGCAGTGCAGTTGCCGTACCAGGCGGTGATACAGCCTGACAGGATGCTCTCAACTGTGCATCTGTAAAAGTTTGTGAGGGTCTTAGGAGCCAAGCCGAATTTCTTCAGCCTGCTGAGGTTGAAGAGGCGCTGTTGTGCCTTCTTCACCACACTGTCTGTGTGGATGGACCATTTCAGATTGTCAGTGATGTGTACGCCGAGGAACTTGAAGCTTTCCACCTTCTCCACTGCGGTCCCGTCGATGTGGATACAGGCGTGCTCCCTCTGCTGTTTCCTGAAGTCCACGATCAGCTCCTTCTTTATGTGGACGTTGAGGGAGAGGTTATTTTCCTGGCACCACTCCACCATAATCAGGCCTACTACTGTTGTGTCGTCTGCAAACTTGATGATTAAGTTGGAGGCGTGCATGGCCACGCAGTCATGGGTGAACAGGAAGTACAGGAGTGGGCTGAGCACGCACCCTTGTGGGGCCCCTGTGTTGAGGATCAGCGAAGTGGAGGTGTTGTTTCCTACCTTCACCACCTGGGGGTGGCCCGTCAGGAAGTCCAGGACCCAGTTGCACAGGGCGGGGTTTCAGATCCAGGGCCCCAAGATTAATGATGAGCTTGGAGGGTACTATGGTGTTGAAGGCTGAGCTATAGTCAATAAACAGCATTCCTACATAGGTATTCCTCTTGTCCAGATGGGATAGGGCAGTGTGCAGTGCGATGGCGATTGCATCATCTGTGGATCTATTGGGGCGGTAAGCAAATTGAAGTGGGTCTAGGGTGTCAGGTAAGGTAGAGGTGATATGATCCTTAACTAGCCTCTCAAAGCACTTCATGATGACAGAAGTGAGTGCTACGGGGCAATAGTTATTTAGTTCAATTACCCTTGCTTTCTTGGGTACAGGAACAATGGTTTGAACTCAGTAGTGAGATGATTTTTACTCGCTACGCGCTTCAGCACACAGCGTCCCGTTCTGTCATCTTGTGTGGCTGACCACTTCGCGGCTGAGCCGTTGTTGCTCCTAGATGTTTCCACATGACAATAACAGCACTTACAGTTGACTGGGGCAGCTCTAGCAGGGCAGTTGACTGGGGCAGCTCTAGCAGGGCAGAAACTTCACAAACTAACTTGTTGGAAAGGTGGCATCCTATGACAGTGCCACGTTGATAGTCACTGAGCTCTTCAGTACGGGCCATTCTACTGCCAATGTTTGTCTATGGAGATTGCATGGCGGTGTGCTCGATTTTATACACCTGTCAGCAACGGGTGTGGCTGAAATAGACAAATCCACTCATTTGAAAGGGTGTCCACACACTTTTGTATATATAGTGTACATATACCAAAAATAACGACTTAAGTACTTTACAACACTGGCTGGTCATAACGGTATTGTTTATTGTTGTTCTTAAAATTCAAATTCTATATTGCGCCAAATTTGCGCACACCCCATGTTCCATAATGTTGTCATGGAAAATATGAATGTTGTTTCCAACTACCAATCAGCAATTGCGCTGTAAATCCGGCTGCATATTGGAACGTTGAGATTGCTGAAAGGCCAGTCTCTTTGGCAAATGACAGAAGTGGCAAGGAGTGGAATGTTAGCTAAAAAGACTGGTACCCAGACTGATCTATTGGACTGGAGGTATTCGATAGAAGCAGCCAGCCAAGCCTGGTATCGATGCCTCTAGTCCAGTGGTTACCAACCTTTTCTGAGTCAAGATCACTTTTGGAGTCAAAAAGCAAGCCAAGATCTACCGCTCAGATTTATTTTAAACATGACTTAAAAAATGTAAGCCTATGCAACATTAACCTAATAAAGATAGTTCTGTAGGACTGAGGTTTGTGCATTAGGCCTAATACAGTATCACAGCATATTGGCTATCCTTGGCCTGCCAATATTGTTCTTCTCAGACCATATTATATTTCAAATCTCGAGCTTTGATAACAAAATAGATCAGTTGTTGTATCACTTGCGAGGCACAGCTGAGCATTAATTGAAATTGCTCGCTCTTTTCCTCCAGTGAGATTGACCAGAGAGAGGGGACACAGTCTTCCACCTGATGGCGAGACTCGAGTAGCACCACATTATTTCTGCCTCATGCACAAATTCATGCTGTTCCTATGACCAGAGTAAGTGAAATATTCCTTTATATTAAAATAGACACGAAGATCTGCTAATAATAAAAATGCAGGCCTATCGATACACTTGGCTACTCATTGATTGCAGCTGCAGTGCTGGTTGTAGCATGAGTTGAAGTAGGGAGAAGGGAGTTTTATGTTTTGTAAAAGTGTTGACAGTGCTGAATAAAAACAAACATGAATTCACTCATAAAAACATTAGCTCTTTGCTGTATGTGTTGACAGTTTCTGTCTGTTCATGGTTTTAAAAGTTATGAAATCTCACATAGGCTAGTATCAAACTTTGCCGTGGGATCCTGGAAGCTGTATGCACGTTGATTTGAGCTATCAGATTGGCCAGCGCAGTAAGCACACTTGATTTAGCTATCCTGGTCTGCCGGGTAGGTGGAGTTTGTCCCTTCAGACAAATTAAATGGTTCAAAATGGGAACACTTTGCCTACCCAGCACGCAGGGCTTCTGAATCAAGTACACCTACCACCAACAGCGCAAGACGAATTGAAACAAAGTAGGAACGCAAGGCTTTATCGCTGGCTTTTCTACAGAAATGTTTGGTGATCGACTAGGAATGCCTTGAAGATTGACCAGTTGGTGACCACTGCTCTAGTCCCTTACACAAGAAAGAGAGGCAAGCCCAGGCATGTACGACTCTAAAATTCTGTACACAGTGGCTCTATTGACAGAATAGCTCTCGATGACTACTGTGGAAATTCTTCTTCCAGAGAGCTGCACAAACACATTAATAAACATTTTGACACATCGCAGGGCTCGGAGTGGATTAAATGTTTAGGCAGGTAGGTGTGTGTCTGTGTGTCATTCATCTCAGGGTGTCCTGCCTCTTTCAACAATTATTTTATATTCTACAAGTACAACGTGGGATCTACTTTATACTCAGTGGGTGTTGTAAGGATGGTTGTGTGAGAGTGATGACAGTTAAAGATAATATTGGTGTATTTCTTGGGAGTGTGCAATTTCTGACTGAGAGGGCCTTAGAGAAGTGCACTAACCTTGCATGCTTGGCAAAGGCCTCCTTCAAAAAGTGGGTGGAAGGTTGCCGCTCTTGTTTTCCCACACGAGAGGCAAAACTCTGCCAGAAAAAAGACCGACAGTTTATGTTCCATAGCTACATCAATTAGAGATATTTTTTTTTAGGAATGTCTGAAACCAAAATGAGAACATACCTTCTATACTTCTGTTATTCTTCAAAACTTCATGCACCATTTGTTCTGAAGGGCAGAGTGGATACACAGAGAGAGACACACACATCCAGGTCAATAATCAAAGACAGGTCTTGACACACATGAATAATAACATACTACTGTATAGTAATAAAGAACAGTCTTAAGGGAATTAGCTACATATGTTTGAAACAGACGACTCCAGGATCGTATTCATTAGGGCATAACATTTTGAAAACGTTCTGCAAATCCAAGTAGTCCCTCCCTGTTTCAGTCTGTTTTTTTTCCGTTTGGTGCCTAATGAATACGACCCTGGTACCCCAGGTTGACCCCTGTTTGGTTGACCTCTCACCTCTACTGTAGACCTCCTCTGGGCTGCTCTTGGCCTTACAAAGGCTGATGCGGGGCCTCTTGGCTGTGGGGAAATACTCAGGCAGACTGACGTCCAACACCTTGTGGTTCAACGGGTTGCTGTCTAGAGAGGACACACACAACAAAAACAACAGTCAAATTATAAGAAAGTATACCTCAAATAATCTAGATGAAGTTATTGCCCAAACAAAATGTTGTATTACTTTTTTTTTTTATCTCACTGACAGTAAATTATTGGCCAAGTAATATCGGGGTGAAAGTAAGCCGGTATGGTCCGGTATGGAGTAGCTGTTACGGCGTACCAGTATAACATGAGCCTATCACAATAATTAAAACAAAGATGCCAAGAAAACTGAAGCCAATTCCAATATTATTTATCATTACTGCATGTCAGTTGCATGACAAATGAGCGAATGGACTTCAAAACGTGTGGAATACGCTCCAAAATGAAGTGTGGTTTGGCGATAAAAGTTACATTTTGCGAAGGCAGAGATGAGTGGCAGAGACTGAGACGCTCGTGGACAACAGTGGACGCATCAATTCAGGTTACAAGTGTAGGCCTAATGAATGACAATCACTGAATGTCATTATTATACTTTTTGGTGTTTCTTTCCATTCATCAATGCTCCCTTTTTTACATTAGCAGATGTCACAAAGCGCTTATACAGAAACCCAGCCAAAAACCCCAGGGAGCAAGCAATGCAGATGTAGAAGCATGCGTAATTCTATGATTAGGCCCCCCCAAAAAATTTGCACGCGCATGCACACTTAGGATGTCCAATACCGGGAAGAAATTAAATCTACTTTCACCCCTGGTTGATCCCCTGACAAACCAATGGAACCATAACCAATGGAGTTCTGTGGATGACATCATGAAACATACTAGACAGGAGGCAACCCATAACCACCCCTCCACTGAAATAGCAAAGTGCCAACATACAGTTAACAGAGTGTCACGTTCGTTCATAGACGGGACGGACCAAGGCGCAGCGTGATATGCATACATGTTTATTTGAACCGAATAAACAACGACAAAACAACAAACTAAACGAAACGTGAAGTCCAAGGTACACAAACAACATACCTCACACGGAACAAGATCCCACAACCCACTAGTGCCAATAGGCTGCCTAGGTATGGTCCCCAATCAGAGACAACGAGCGACAGCTGCTTCTGATTGGGAACCACACCGGCCAACATAGATCTAGACATACTAGATCCTATAACATAGAACAAGCACAACAAGGAATATACACACCCTGACTCAACATATAAGCGTCCCCTGAGTCAGGGCGTGACACAGATCATGTGCAGACAGAGACTGGGGGAGAAAGACAGATAGAAAGACAAAGAGAAGGTTGAGTGTGTGAGATGCCAAGTAGAGACATAAATAAATGACGTAAGTCTTTAGAAAAATGTATGCACTCACTAACTGTAAGTCGCTCTGGATAAGAGCGTCTGCTAAATGACTAAAAAAATGTAAAATGTCTTCTAATAACAGCTTATCAAGAAGCTAATTATTAGAATCAGGTGCGCTAGATTGGGGTTGGAGCGAAAAGCTCTCCAGGAACAGGGTTGGAGAACCTGATCTAGAGAAAGTAATGGTGGAACTCTTTTAAATCTGTCAGCAACTATTGTCTCACAGCCCTGGGGGCTATCGTTTCAGTTGGATGCTATAACAGTGATACATTGGACTACAGATGTGCTTCCAAGCTTACTCCGGCACATTCACAATTACTGTATGATGTGAAAACTGAAATGTTGATTAAAGGGATACTTAGCTTTTTAGAAGTTTAGCTTATTTTCGATTTGGAGGACCCTACGGGAAGTAAAAAAAGAAAGAAAGAAAAAGGCAACTATCCCTTTAACGTGCCCATTGTGGACAAGAGAGGACAGAAGGGGGCCAGGAGAAAACCCCAGCCATGGCATTTAGACCTTATATTGGCTTTGGTTGGTGAGTCTCACCAGGGTTCTCTGTGGGTTTCAGGCCCTCCTGGCCCTTAGGCAGGAAGCCCCCGTTGGCCCAGTCCAGCATGGGCTTGACCTGGTCCTCTGGCCCCTCTGACTCACACGGAGGGAACGGCTTCTCAGCACGCAGACTGGCCATCTGAGAGAGGGAGGGGAAAAGAGAGGGAGGGGAGGAGGCAGGGATGTGGAAGAGGGAGTCAAGGTGGGGTGAGAGAAGGAGAGAGGGAGGGGAGGTAGAGGGCGGGGTAGGAAGTTAGGTGGAAGATAGAGAAAGGGAGAGGGAAGAAGGAGGGGGCAGAGATAGAGAAAGGGAAATGAGGAGAGATGATTGTCAACCTTGTTAACCTTGCTAAACAAACAGACGATCAGACTAACAGGCAGGTACTCTAGACAGACAAAGCAGACAAGAGAAACAGAAAGGTAGACATTGACAACACACACTAATTCATGTATACATTCTTCTTCGCCCACCTCCTCCTCCCCCTCCCTCCTTACCTCCAGTGCCTGGAAGATGGCCCTGCGGTAGGATGCCAGCTTGGCGTAGGAGGCTTGGTTGAAGAACTTGGGGAAAGCAGTGATGGAATCCAGCTTGTCAGCTGAAACCTAGTGAGGATGATGAGTGGAAGCCAAGGACAAGACATCAGCAGGTGGAGATATGGAAGGTTAAAAGCTCATTCATTGCTTTACTGTAAAACAAGGTCCGTATTCACAAAGCGTCTCAGAGTAGGAGTGCTTATCTAGGATAAGGTGCCCCCTGTCCATGTAATGTTATTCATTATGATCTAAAAGAGAACTGATCGTTGACCAGCACTCCTACTTCATGTCGCATGAGCCTTGTTTACACCTTGCACTAATATGTGGGTTTCATGATCTTATCAATATGATCCAATCACTATCTGTCACGTCTACACATAGTATTAAAATGTATCTCTTATCCATCCACTGTGCCCGCATTTTGACCAGATTTCCTAGTACCTCCCTGTATGCAATTTCTTTGCATACAGGTAATATGTATTTATTTATTTTAAGAGATAATTATTGATGCTGTAAGTCATTGGTACTGCCTGTCAATGATTTTAAAGGCCGGTATAATTATGATTTAAATGGTTTGACCATCCAGATCGGTCTACACTTGATTGATATCCAGACACAATGCTTGCCTGACTACCTCCAGAGGTGGTCAGGAAGATCTGATCACAATCAGATCACAATGCGTCTTTTAATCGTCTACACCTGTCTAAAAATCTGGGCACAATCAGAATGTGGACAAGATCAGTACAAAAAGACGCATGTTAACCCCAGGTATAAACAGGGCTTTTGTCAATGCTGACCCTGAAATATAGCAGACTTTATGACAGACATGCTAACATCCTAAATGTTTCTCTTGGCCAAAACAATGATGGAGTGTTGTGGTTGTTGTGAGTACACAGGGTGGGAACCCTCCTCATCAACGCTCACCTCAGAGAACTTGCCATCACCGAACCACTGCAGCCACCTCATGCCATGCGTGGCCTGTCGTTTGCCCGTTGCGCGCCAGGTGACCACGATGCCTGGCCACCAGGAGAACCCCTTGATCTTCCCCCACACCATCTCCCCAATGCCAAAGCCCTTGTTGTCCTGCGAGGGGAGAGGAGGGGGGGGGGGACAGTTAGAGGGGTAAAGAGATGTGTGTGTGAACTAGATTTGGAGTTTGAGACAGGTGGGTCTTTGACTCTAGGACATGTCAGTGCATACACATACTGACAGGTCCACATCATGGATCTACCACTGCTAGGGGACTGTGGGTTTCCATTAGTCTTTTTGTGGATACAGGTTGGCCTCCAAACACACATTACAAAGACTCAGTCTTACTATGAGACCATGTTATACTGAATTTACTTCATGTGCCACTGCCACTGACTAACCACACAGCTGTGTAGACCTGTGAGGTTACAGACATCAAAGACAACGGAGGCAGAGATGTACAAACACACACTGTCAGCCATGCTCCACACACACATTGTCTCTGCAGGTGGACAAACAGAAGAAGGGATGGGAGACTTCTATGATCTTACCCCCGTTCTCCTCTTTTGTTTTCTGTTCCACCTTAACTCCCTCTTCTATTGGCCCTACATTTCCCCCTTTGTCCTCTCTCCCCCTCCCTCACTTCTTCCCCTCTCCCTGTCTCTCCTCCTTCCCTCTCCCTCTCCCTCCCTCTCTCCCCTTCCGTTACCTTGTACTCTGGCTGGCAGGCAGGCTCTGTGGTGTGGGAGGTCAGAGAGGTGGAGGAGGTGGAGGTACTCTGGGCCGAATCCTTAGAGTCCTGCTCCAGGAGCTGCAGGGAGGGGTTCTCAGGGACCACTGACACCAGGGGCCCGGAGCCAACACTGCAGGCCAGGCTCTGTGGAGAGCGAGAAAGGGGGGAGGAGGGAGAGAGGGGAAGAAGGGAAGGAGAGAGGGACCCGATGCATTAAACATTCCCTGGTTTTCTCGAAATCCCTGTTGGAGGATTCCTGCTTATTCCCTCCAATTCTGGGAATTCCTCCAACCGTGATTTCGGGAAAACCAGGGAATTTATTGAATGTTCCCAGAATTTTGCAACTCTAGTTTTATGAGAAGGTTATATGTTTTGAAGTGTCTTAAAACCTATGTGTAATTACACAATTACCAAGTACGCACAACTGTTAAACCCGTATGTGTTTTTTTGTTTAATTTGGTCCCTATCAACCTGATGTTCTCTGCTCTACCCAATCCTAGTTCTTAGCTGTGTTTTGGCATAGTGCTCTTGGCCCAAATGGAGTCCCTCACCTACACAGATAATCCAGACCAACACCTTGGAACCTACTCAGTGTTCTTTAATCCAGACCAACACCTTGGAACCTACTCAGTGTTCTTTAATCCAGACCAACACCTTGGAACCTACTCAGTGTTCTTTAATCCAGACCAACACCTTGGAACCTACTCAGTGTTCTTTAATCCAGACCCAACACCTTGGAACCTACTCAGTGTTCTTTAATCCAGACCCAACACCTTGGAACCTACTCAGTGTTCTTTAATCCAGACCAACACCTTGGAACCTACGCAGTGTCCTTTTCTCTTTCTGATGTAATTAACAATCTCACTGGTAACTGAAATAATGCAACCCTTACACAGGTACTTCAGACTGACAGAGAGACACAGGGTATGAGAGAGAGGTGAGAGAGAGAGACAGAGGGAGAGGAAGAGAGAGAGGTGAAGAGAGAGTGCAAGAGAGTGAGAGACAGAGAGGGGGAGAGACAGGTCGAAAGTTGGGGACAAAGAGAGTGAAAGAGAGAGAGAGCACAAGAGGGAGACAGAGTGAAAGAGAGAGGGAAAGAGAGAGATAAAGAGAGGCGTTGAACGTTGTCAGCGCAGTCACGAAGCGGAGATGCCGAGCACTTTCTCATCACATGATGAACTGCAGACAAGCATGTTTTAGCTGGCTCACGCTGGAAAGAAGAGACTTCAGAAAATAAACGACGAGGATCCAATTGAACACTGACTGTCACTCCCCTTTGTCCCAGAGGTCCTGAAACCAGTTGGCATACAGTGAGGGAAAAAAGTATATGATCCCCTGCTGGTTTTGTACGTTTGCCCACTGACAAAGAAATGATCAGTCTATCATTTTAATGGTAGGTTTATTTGAACAGTGAGAGACAGAATAACAACAACAAAAATCCAGAAAAACGCATGTCAAAAATGTTATAAATTGATTTGCATTTTAATGAGGGAAATAAGTATTTGACCCCGTCTCAATCAGAAAGATTTCTGGCTCCCAGGTGTCTTTTATACAGGTAACGAGCTCAGATTAGGAGCACACTCTTAAAGGGAGTGCTCCTAATCTCTGCTTGTTACCTGTATAAAAGACACCTGTCCACAGAAGCAATCAATCAATCAGATTCCAAACTCCCCACCATGACAAGATTGTAGACCTACACAAGGCTGGAATGGGCTACAAGACCTTTGCCAAGCAGCTTGGTGAGAAGGTGACAACAGTTGGTGTGATTATTCGCAAATGGAAGAAACACAAAAGAACTGTCAATCTCCCTCGGCCTGGGGCTCCATGCAAGATCTCACCTCGTGGAGTTACAATGATCATGAGAACGGTGAGGAATCAGCCCAGAACTACATGGGAGGATCTTGTCAATGATCTCAAGGCAGCTGGGACCATAGTCACCAAGAAAACAATTGGTAACACACATACGCCGTGAAGGACTGAAATCCTGCAGCGCCCGCAAGGTCCCCCTGCTCAAGAAAGCACATATACAGGCCCGTCTGAAGTTTGCCAATGAACATCTGAATGATTCAGAGGAGAACTGGGTGAAAGTGTTGTGGTCATATGAGACCAAAATCGAGCTCTTTGGCATCAACTCAACTCGCCGTGTTTGGAGGAGGAGGAATGCTGCCTATGACCCCAAGAACCCCATCCCCACCGTCAAACATGGAGGTTGAAACATTATGCTTTGGGGGTGTTTTCCTGCTAAGGGGACAGGACAACTTCACCGCATCAAAGGTACGATGGGCGGGGCCATGTACCGTCAAATCTTGGGTGAGAACCTCCTTCCCTCAGACAGGGCATTGAAAATGGGTCGTGGATGGGTATTCCAGCATGACAATGACCCAAAACACACGGCCAAGGCAACAAAGGAGTGGCTCAAGAAGAAGCACATTAAGGTCCTGGAGTGGCCTAGCCAGTCTCCAGACCTTAATCCCATAGAAAATATGTGGAGGGAGCTGAAGGTTCGAGTTGCCAAACGTCAGCCTCGAAACCTTAATGACTTGGAGAAGATCTGCAAAGAGGAGTGGGACAAAATCCCTCCTGAGATGTGTGCAAACCTGGTGGCCAACTACAAGAAACGTCTGACCTCTGTGATTGCCAACAAGGGTTTTGCCACCAAGTACTAAGTCAAGTTTTGCAGAGGGATCAAATACTTATTTCCCTCATTATAATGCAAATCAATTTATAACGTGCGTCTTTCTGGATTTTTTTGTTGTTATTCTGTCTCTCACTGTTCAAATAAACCTACCATTAAAATTATAGGCTGATCATGTCTTTGTCAGTGGGCAAACATACATAATCAGCAGGGGATCAAATACTTTTTTCCCTCACTGTAGCTATTACCTCCTTCAGCCAGACCACGTCATCTGAGCGTGATGTATGTTGTTTGTTGTTGAACGCTGAACGAGAGACCACGGTTTATTGTTTTTCTAAAGCTTAGAGACGATCTAATGTTAAATACTGTTGAAGTAATATGGCTACAGGTTCATCTGCCTCACCTAAAGCCCATTCTTGTGGGAAGCTGCTATAGACCACCAAGTGCTAACAGTCAGTATCTGGATAATATGTGTGAAATGCTTGATAATGTAAGTAATATCAACAGATAAGTATGTTTTCTGGGTGATTTAAATATTGACTGGCTCTCATCAACCTGCCCACTCAAGATTTTTTTTAAACTGTAACCAGTGCCTGCAACCTGGTTCAGGTTGTCAGTCAACCTACCAGGGTATTTACAAACAGCACAGGAATGAAATCATCAACATGTATTGATCACATCTTTACTAATGCTGCAGAAATTTGCTTCAAAGCAGTATCCAAATCCATAGGATGTAGTGATCACAATGTAGTAGCCATATCTAGGAAAACCAAAGTTCCAAAGGCTGGGACTAATACAGACGTGGTCAGAAGTTTTGAGAATGACACAAGTATTGTGTTATGAGATATTTTTGTCAGATGTTACTATGGTATACTGAAGTATAATTACAAGCATTCCATAAGTGTCAAAGGCTTTTATTGACAATTACATTACGTTTATGCAAAGAGTCAATATTTGCAGTGTTTACCCTTCTTTTTCAAGACCTCTGCAATCTGCCCTGGCATGCTGTCAATTAACTTCTGGGCCACATCCTGACTGATGGCAGCTCATTCTTGCATAATCAATGCTTAGAGTTTGTCAGAATTTGTGGGTTTTTGTTTGTCCACCCGCCTCTTGAGGATTGACCACAAGTTCTCAATGGGATTAAGGTCTGGGGAGTTTCCTGGCCATGGACCCAAAATGTAGATGTTTTGTTCCCCGAGCCACTTAGTTATCACTTTTGCCTTATGGCAAGGTGCTCCATCATGCTGGAAAAGGCATTGGTCATCACCAAACTGTTCTTGGATGGTTGGGAGAAGTTGCTCTCGGAGGATGTGTTGGTACCATTCTTTATTCATTTTTTAAAAACATTTTAGTCATTTTAGCAGACGCTCTTATCCAGAGCGACTTACAGTTAGTGAGTGCATACATTTTCCATTCATGGCTGTGTTCTTAGGCAAAATTGTGAGTGAGCCCACTCCCTTGGCTGAGAAGCAACCCCACACATGAATGGTCTCAGGATGCTTTACTGTTGGCATGACACAGGACTGATGGTAGCGCTCACCTTGTCTTCTCCGGACAAGGTGTTTTCCGAATGCCCCAAACAATCGGAAAGGGGATTCATCAGAGAAAATGACTTTACCCCAGTCCTCAGCAGTCCAATCCCTGTACCTTTTGCTGACTGATGTTTTTCCTGGAGAGAAGTGGCTTCTTTGCTGCCCTTCTTGACACCAGGCCATCCTCCAAAAGTATTCGCCTCACTGTGCGTGCAGATGCACTCACACGTGCCTGCTGCCATTCCTGAGCAAGCTCTGCACTGGTGGTGCCCCGATCCCGCAGCTGAATCAACTTTAGGAGATGGTCCTGGCGCTTGCTGGTCTTTTTTGGGTGCCCTGATGCCTTCTTCACAACAATTGAACCTCTCTCCTTGAAGTTCTTGATGATCCGATAAATTGTTGATTTAGGTGCAATCTTACTAGCAGCAATATCCTTGCCTGTGAAGCCCTTTTTGTGCAAAGCAATGATGACGGCACGTGTTTCCTTGCAGGTAACCATGGTTAACAGAGGAAGAACAATGATTTCAAGCACCACCCTCCTTTTAAGGCTTCCAGTCTGTTATTCTAACTCAATCAGCATGACAGAGTGATCTCCAGCCTTGTCCTCGTCAACACTCTCACCTTTGTTAACGAGAGAATCACTGACATGATGGCAGCTGGTCCTTTTGTGGCAGGGCTGAAATGCAGTGGAAATGTTTTTTTTTTGGATTAAGTTCATTTTCATGGCAAAGAGGGACTTTGCAATTAATTGCAATTCATCTGATCACTCTTCATGACATTCTGGAGTATATGCAAATTGACATCATCAAAACTGAGGCAGCAGACTTTTTGAAAATTAGTATTTGTGTCATTCTCAAAACTTTTGACCACGACTGTATAGACCACCATTCTTTACATCACCCTTAGTAAACCTCTGGAAAAGCTGGTGTTTGACCAGATACAATGCTATTTCACAGTAAACAAACTGACAACAGACTTTCAGCACGCTTATAGGGAAGGACACTCAACAAGCACAGCATTTACACAAATAACTGATGATTGGCTGAGAGAAAGTATTGATAAAATGATTGTGGGGCTGTCTTGTTAGACTTCAGTGCAGCTTTTGACATTTTCGATCATAGTCTGCTGCTGGAAAAACGTATGTGTTATGGCTTTACACCCCCTGCTATGATGTGGATAAAGAGTTACTTGTCTAACAGAACACAGAGTGTGTTCTTTAATGGAAGCCTCGCAAACATAATCCAGGTAGAATCAGGAATTCCCCAGGGTAGCTGTCTAGGCCCCTTACTTTTTTCCATCTTTACTAATGACATGCCACTGGCTTTGAGTAATGTGTCTATGTATGCAGATGACTCAACACTATACACGTCAGCTACTACAGCAATTGAAATAACTGCAACACTTAACAAAGAACTGCAGTTAGTTTCAGAATGGGTAGCAAGGAATAAGTTAGTCGTAAATATTTCCAAAACTAAAAGCATTGTATTTGCGACAAATCATTCACTAAACCCTAAACCTCAACTACATCTCGTAATGAATAATGTGGAAATTGAGCAAGTTGAGGTGACTAAACTGCTTGGAGTAACCCTGGACTCTGGTCAAAACATATTGATACAACAGTAGATAAGATTGGGAGAAGTCTGTCCATAATAAAGTGCTGCTCTGCCTTCTTAACAACACTATCAACAAGGCTGGTCCTACAGGCCCTAGTTTTGTTGCACCTAGACTACTGTTCAGTAGTGTGGTCAGGTGCCACAAAGAGGGACTTTGGAAAATTGCAGTTGGCTCAGAACAGGGCAGCACGGCTGGCCTTTAAAAGTACACGGAGAGCTAACATTAATGACATGCATGTCAATCTCCCATGGCTCAAAGTGGAAGAGAGATTGACTTCATCACTACTTGTTTTTGTAAGAGGTGTTGACAAGCTGAATGTACCGAGCTGTCTGTTTAAAATACTAACACACAGCTCGGACTCCCATGCTTACCCCACAAGACATGCCACCAGAGGTCTCTTCACAGTCCCCAAGTCCAGAACAGACTATGGGAGGTGCACAGTACTACATAGAGCCATGACTACATGGAACTTTATTCCACATCAAGTAACTCATGCAAGCAGTAAAATCAGATTTAAAAATCAGATAAAAATACACCTTATGGAACAAAGGGGAACGTGAAGAGACACACACAAAGGTACAGACACATGCATACGCACACATTGTGATATTGTTGTATGGTGGCATTAAACATTTTGTATTGTAGATATGTAGTGGTGTAATAATGTTATATGATGTACTGTTTTATCTTTTGTTTTATATGTAATGTAAGTGCTTTAATATGTTTGGACCCTTGGAAGCAGCTAATGGGATCCCTAATAAATACATATACAAATACTCCTTCCAGGCCACAGCGTTTCTCACAAAGGCAGCCCTTATGGTTGCTGTGTGTGTGTGTGTGTGTGTCTCCAACAGTTTGGTTTCTCCTCCTCATATCTCCTGTTTGAGCGTGAGAAGCGTGCGTGTGTGTGTGACTGTTTCAGAGTTTTTTTTCTTTTTCAGAGAACTGACATAAGACAAACAGAGCTACATTCCTCCAGCCACATGTTATGTCCTATCATGTCCTACTCTATGTTAGTTGTGTTAGTTGTAAGGATGTTGCCATGGTTCAGAGTGACTGCCAGGAGTATGACTACCTAGTCATGTCATCACTGACAGGATTGACACATTTCTTTATATCAAATCATGTCTGAGGTACTGTTAGAACAGAGTAATTCATTTCTGTGGGGGTGTTACATTTTTATGAAATCAGAAATGATTCAGAGGTGGATTTGTGTTTCTTTGTGAGTACATAAAACATCAGAGCTGAATATTTTGACAGATGGGAGCCCTGGGATGTATAGTGTCTGTTCATTAAGTTGTTGCATATTCAGTCTACTCTGAATGGCGTGTGTCCTCATGCAGTGTGTGTGTGTCCTCACCAGAGGGCTGCTGCGGTGCTCCAGCTTGCTCTGGCGTCCTCCCCTTCTCTGCTCGCGGCTGCGTGGTTTGGTGTGAGGGGCCAGCAGACCGGCCTGGAAGATGGTCCTGGGAGAGGGTCTCTGTCTCAGACCCGAGCCAGACTCCGAGCCCCCCACCCCTGCTACCTTGGCCTTCTGCTGTAGAGAAGACACAGCACTGGTAAACCATGGTTGACCAACTCCCTGCCCAACCTGGCTGACATTTGGACCATCATAAGAAGGTTAATGTCCATTCCAGTATTCTAATTCCTAATTCTATGGCATACAGTGTCTGGCTACGAGAGAAAACACCATCACCGTTCAGGTTTTGTTGATGAGATGGGCATCAAAGCAGACTAACTGGTTCTACTGTTAGGATTGTCGCATTAAGCACTATACATTTGGGCAGGTAGCGTTCTCCTGGCATCCGCCAAACCCAGACTTGTCTGTTGGACTGTCAGATGGTGAAGCCACTTCGCGGCTGAGCCGTTGTTGCTCCTAGACGTTTTAACATCACAATAACAGCAATTACCGGGGCAGCTCTTGCAGGGCAGAAATTTCACGAACTGTTGGAAAGATGCCACGTTGAAAGTCACTGAGCTCTTCAGTAAGGCCATTCTACTGTAAATGTTTGTCTATGGAGATTGTATGGCTGTGTGCTCGATTTTATATACCTGTCAGCAACGGGTGTGGCTGAAATAGCAGAATCTACTAATTTGAAGGGGTGTCCACCACAGGAGGATGCTGATAATAATGGCCGGAATGGAGCTAATGGAATGGCCTCAAACACCTGGAAACCATGTGTTTGATGTATTTTATACCAATCCACCTATTCCGCTCCAGTCATTTCCACAAGCCCGTTCTTCCCAATTAAGGTGCCACCAACCTCCTGTTGTGTCCACTTACTTTTGTATATATAGTGTACATTGAGCAACTGCTCTCTATGTATCCCCTCTTGATCCCACATTCTTCTGTCTCTTACATAGCAGGCGTAAAAGAAACACAGACCAGAAAAGTAGCCGCGCAATGGATTATGGTCATTGTAGTTCAGTATCATGTTTTCTGCGCTAAACTATGTAGAACATTGGCCTGTTGGAAACTACAACTCCCTACTACATTGCACAGTTCGGGCATGATCTGATTTATCTCTAGAGAAACTGCAGCACAATGTGCAGAGTCTGGGGGAGTAGAGAGTTGGGCAGTGCATGTGTCTGTGTGTGTCAGAGAGAGATAGCATTCATTTGTGTGTGTGTGTGTGTGTGTGTGTGTGTGTGTGTGTGTGTGTGTGTGTGTGTGTGTGTGTGTGTGTGTGTGTGTGTATCTAAGTATGAGTATGTATCTAAATGTGTGTATCTATGTATGCCGTAAAGTAAACCGTCTGCGTGCATGTGTGTGTGTATGTGGGTGTCTATGTAGTGTGAATACTCACCTCACTATAGGAGGCGTCCCAGATGCACTCCTCCTCCTCAGATGACCTCTTCCTGGTTCTCTTCCTGCTCCCAGACAACTGGTTCACATCTGAGTCTGGAGAGAGAGAGGGTAAGAGAGAGAGCGAGAAAGAGAAGGATGGGGAGAGACATGATTATTATTTGACCATGCTTGTCACTTATGAACATTTTTGAACATCTTGGCATGGTTCTGTTATAATCTTCACCCGGCACAGCCAGAAGAGGACTGGCCACCCCTCATAGCCTGGTTCCTCTCTAGGTTTCTTCCTAGGTTTTCGCCTTTCTAGGGAGTTTTTCCTAGCCACCGTGCTTCTACACCTGCATTACTAGCTGTTTGGGGTTTTAGGCTGGGTTTCTGTACAGCACTTCGAGATATTAGCTGATGTAAGAAGGGCTATATAAAATAAAATTGATTGATTGATTGATGAGGGACAGGGTAAGGATGGTGACTTATGAAAACAGCCAATCAGTTGTGTTGTGACAAGGTCCATATTATGGCAAGAACAGCTCAAATAAGCAAAGAGAAACGACAGTCCATCATTACTTTAAGACATGAAGGTCAGTCAATACTGAACATTTCAAGAACTTTGAACGTTTCTTCAAGTGCAGTCACAAAAACCATCAAGCGCTATGATGAAACTGGCTCTCATGAGGACCGCCACAGGAATGGAAGACCCAAAGTTAACTCTGCTGCAGAGGATAAGTTCATTAGAGTTACCAGCCTCAGAAATTGCAGCCCAAATAAATGCTTCACAAATTCAAGTAACAGACACATCTCAAAATCAACTGTTCAGAGGACACTGCTAAAGGACACCAATAAGAAGAAGAGACTTGCAATGGACATTAGACCGGTGGAAATCTGTCCTTTGGTCTGGAGTCCAAATTTGAGATTTTTGGTTCCAACCGCTGTGTCTTTGTGAGACGCGGTGTGGGTGAACGGATGATCTCCGCATATGTATTTCCCACCATAAAGCATGGAGGAGGAGGTGTTATGGTGTGGGGTTGCTTTGGTGGTGACGCTGTCTGTGATTTATTTAGAATTCAAAGCACACTTAACCAGCATGGCTACCACAGCATTCTGCAGTGATAAGCCATCCCATCTGGTTTGGGCTTAGTGGGACTATCATTTGTTTTTCAACAGGACAATGACTCAACACACCTCCAGGCTGTGTAAGGGCTATTTTACCAAGAAGGAGAGTGATGGAGTGCTGCATCAGATGACCTGGCCTCCCGCGACCTCAACCAAATTGAGATGGTTTCAAATCAAATCAAATTTTATTTGTCACATACACGTGTTTAGCAGATGTTATTGCGGGTGTAGCGAAATGCTTGTGCTTCTAGCTCCGACAGTGCAGTAACATCTAACAAGTAATATCTACCAATTTCACAACATATACCCAATACACACAAATCTAAGTAAGGAATGGAATTGAAGAATATATACAGTGGGGAGAACAAGTATTTTATACACTGCCGATTTTGCAGGTTTTCCTACTTACAAAGAATGTAGAGGTCTGTCATTTTTATCATAGGTACGCTTCAACTGTGAGAGACGGAATCTAAAACAAAAATCCAGAAAATCACATTGTATGATTTTTAAGTAATTATTTTTGATTTTATTGCATGACATAAGTATTTGATACATCAGAAAAGCAGAACTTAATATTTGGTACAGAAACCTTTGTTTGCAATTACAGAGATCATACATTTCCTGTAGGTCTTGACCAGGTTTGCACACACTGCAGCAGGGATTTTGGCCCACTCCTCCATACAGACCTTCTCCAGATCCTTCAGGTTTCGGGGCTGTCGCTGGGCAATACGGACTTTCAGCTCCCTCCAAAGATTTTCTATTGGGTTCAGGTCTGGAGACTGGCTAGGCCACTCCAGGACCTTAAGATGCTTCTTACGGAGCCACTCCTTAGTTGCCCTGGCTGTGTGTTTCGGGTCGTTGTCATGCTGGAAGACCCAGCCACGACCCATCTTCAATGCTCTTACTGAGGGAAGGAGGTTGTTGGCCAAGATCTCGCGATACATGGCCCCATCCATCCTCCCCTCAATAAGGTGCAGTCGTCCTGTCCCCTTTGCAGAAAAGCATCCCCAAAGAATGATGTTTCCACCTCCATGCTTCACGGTTGGGATGGTGTTCTTGGGGTTGTACTCATCCTTCTTCTTCCTCCAAACACGGCAAGTGGAGTTTAGACCAAAAAGCTCTATTTTTGTCTCATCAGACCACATGACCTTCTCCCATTCCTCCTCTGGATCATCCAGATGGTCATTGGCAAACTTCAGACGGGCCTGGACATGCGCTGGCTTGAGCAGGGGGACCTTGCGTGCGCTGCAGGATTTTAATCCATGACGGCATAGTGTGTTACTAATGGTTTTCTTTGAGACTGTGGTCCCAGCTCTCTTCAGATCATTGACCAGGTCCTGCCGTGTAGTTCTGAGCTGATCCCTCACCTTCCTCATGATCATTGATGCCCCACAAGGTGAGATCTTGCATGGAGCCCCAGACCGAGGGTGATTGACCGTCATCTTGAACTTCTTCCATTTTCTAATAATTGCGCCAACAGTTGTTGCCTTCTCACCAAGCTGCTTGCCTATTGTCCTGTAGCCCATCCCAGCCTTGTGCAGGTCTACAATTTTATCCCTGATGTCCTTACACAGCTCTCTAGTCTTGGCCATTGTGGAGAGGTTGGAGTCTGTTTGATTGAGTGTGTGGACAGGTGTCTTTTATACAGGTAATGAGTTCAAACAGGTGCAGTTAATACAGGTAATGAGTGGAGAATAGGAGGGCTTCTTAAAGAAAAACTAACAGGTCTGTGAGAGCCGGAATTCTTACTGGTTGGTAGGTGATCAAATACTTATGTCATGCAATAAAATGCAAATTAATTACTTAAAAATCATACAATGTGATTTTCTAAACCTGCAAAATCGGCAGTGTATCAAATACTTGTTCTCCCCACTGTACATATATGGACAAGCAATGACAAAGCGGCATGGACTAAGATACAGTGAGGGAAAAAAGTATTTGATCCCCTGCTGATTTTGTATGTTTGCCCACTGACAAATACATGATCAGTCTATAATTTTAATGGTAGGTTTATTTGAACAGTGAGAGACAGAATAACAACAAAAAAATCCAGAAAAACGCATGTCAAAAATGTTATAAATTGATTTGCATTTTAATGAGGGAAATAAGTAGTTGACCCCCTCTCAATCAGAAAGATTTCTGGCTCCCAGGTGTCTTTTATACAGGTAACGAGCTGAGATTAGGAGCACACTCTTAAAAGGAGTGCTCCTAATCTCAGCTTGTTACCTGTATAAAAGACACCTGTCCACAGAAGCAATCAATCAATCAATCAGACCTCAGAAGACCTCAGAAAAAAAATCGTAGACCTCCACAAGTCTGGTTCATCCTTGGGAGCAATTTCCAAACGCCTGAAGGTACCACGTTCATCTGTACAAACAATAGTACGCAAGTATAAACACCATGGGACCACGCAGCCGTCATACCGCTCAGGAAGGAGACGCATTCTGTCTCCTAGAGATGAACGTACTTTGGTGCGAAAAGTGCAAATCAATCCCAGAACAACAGCAAAGGACCTTGTGAAGATGCTGGAGGAAACAGGTACAAAAGTATCTATATCCACAGTAAAATAAGTCCTATATCGACATAACCTGAAAGGCCACTCAGCAAGGAAGAAGCCACTGCTCCAAAACCGCCATAAAAAAGCCAGACTACGGTTTGTAACTGCACATGGGGACAAAGATCGTACTTTTTGGAGAAATGTCCTCTGGTCTGATGAAACACAAATAGAACTGTTTGGCCACAATGACCATCGTTATGTTTGGAGGAAAAAGGGGGTCCCTTGCAAGTCGAAGAACACCATCCCAACCGTGAAGCACGGGGGTGGCAGCATCATGCTGTGGGGGTGCTTTGCTGCAGGAGGGCCTTGTGCACTTCACAAAATAGATGGCATCATGAGGAAGCAACATCTCAAGACATCAGTCAGGAAGTTAAAGCTTGGTCGCAAATGGGTCTTCCAAATGGACAATGACCCCAAGCATACTTCCAAAGTTGTGGCAAAATGGCTTAAGGACAACAAAGTCAAGGTATTGGAGTGGCCATCACAAAGCCCTGACCTCAATCCTATAGAAAATGTGTGGGCAGAACTGAAAAGGTGTGTGCGAGCAAGGAGACCTACAAACCTGACTCAGTTACACCAGCTCTGTCAGGAGGAATGGGCCAAAATTCACCCAACTTACTGTGGGAAGCTTGTGGAAGGCTACCCAAAACGTTTGACCCAAGTTAAACAATTTAAAGGAAATGCTACCAAATACTAATTGAGTGTATGTAAACTTCTGACCCACTGGGAATGTGATGAAATAAATAAAAGCTTAAATAAATAATTCTCTCTTACTATTATTCTGACATTTCACATTCTTAAAATAAAGTGGTGATCCTAATTGACCTAAGACAGGGAATGTTTACTAGGATTAAATGTCTGGAATTGTGAAAAACTGAGTTTAAATGTTTTTGGCTAAGGTGTATGTAAACTTCCGACTTCAACTGTATATGGAGAGTGTTTAGTGCCAAAAATAAGGGGTTAAATACATGTAAAAACAAATAACAAATGTTTCCTGATCTTTCTTATGTCTCTCAGATATAGGACAAACACTTCAGAACAAACTTCCTTTAGAATTTTTTTTGGGGGGGACTATCTGTTGTTCCATGTAGTGAATCTGTTATTCAATGCGTTTGTATGGGCTAATAGCAGTAATGCCCCCATTTTTTTCTTCATATTTTTTTTTTTTTTTATATACATTTTTTTATACTTCAAGGGGTCTTAAAATTCAAAAACAAATAGCAAAATGATCCTTGGTATGACGTTCTTAAAACAATTCCATATAGCTTAGTAAACCCCCCCGGCTTAGACAGGGCTTTGACTGTTTAGTGCCAAAAACAAGGGGTTAATTACATGTATAGAAAATATTTCCTGATCTTGCTTATATCTCTCAGAACTAGGACAGACACTTCAGAACAAACTTCCTTTAGATTTTTTTGGGGGGACTATCTGTTATTCAATGCATTTTTATGGGCTAATAGCAGTAAGGCCAAATAAAATGTTTCATCAAATAATTTGTAAATATATTTTTCTGATACTTCAAGTGGTCTTAAAATTCTAAATAAAATAGCAAAATGATCCTTGGTATGACCTTCTTAAAACAATTCCATATAGCTTAGTAGAACTCCCCCTCCCCCGGTTTAGTCAGGGTTTAGACTGTAATGGTTAACTACCACATTTTCTACCTAAACTATGTAGAATATTGGCCTGTTGGAAACTACAACTCCCTACTACATTGCACAGTTCAGGCTTGATCTGATTTATCTCTAGAGAAACTGCGCAATGTGTGCATTGAGCTCAGACAAAAAACAAACTAAATAGAATTCAAATAATTGAACTGATGTCAGGTCAATTACAGTAGTTGTTTGAAAACCGAAAAATAACCTACATTTCTGTTAATCGCTTAGCACTACTGTAAACCAACTGGAGAGCTCAAAATATTTGAAATGTCCCTTTCCAGTCTTGCTGCCATGCATGTTTGCTACTATCAGTGTTGTTTGTGTTCCTGACCTGCAGGTGAGGCAGCGTCTCCGTTCTGCTTGGGGCTGAAGGGGGAGGGCGGCTCGGCGGCGGTGAGCGGGCTGTTCTCATTGGTCATCTCCGCGCCACTGTCGCTCTCTGATGGTCCCTCGGCTGCAGGAATGTCCCCGTTCACCTCAGCCTGGGGACGACAGGAGATGGGCTATCAACTCAGTTGAAAACAGCAAAACAGTCCAAACAAACCACTCCAAACACACAACAGCAGCCAACTACCCATGGACCAGTCCACTTCCATCACAAACCACCCCACCTAACAAATAGAGCCTATTCACTTAACATAACATCACACAACAAGATTTTACATCAAAATAGCTCAGAGCTTTCATCAGAAAACTTGCATATTACCAAGTCAAGCTAAGGATAGTAATTTCCTGTCTAAGTGTGCTATATGTGCTTTCACTGTGCATGATTGGTGTTTGCCTGCTGTATGTACCACTGAAAACACTGCTACTCCTACTGCTCTCTCCTCGTCTGACCATGTGTTCTCGCATACCCCGAGAACATCTGGTCAGCGGGGTGGTGGCACAGGAATCCTCATCTCTCCCAAGTGGACATTCTCAATTTTTCCCCTGACCCATCTGTCTATCTCCTCATTTGAATTCCATGCTGTCACAGTCACTAGCCCATTTAAGCTTAACATCCTTGTCATTTATCGCCCTCCAGGTTCCCTTGGAGAGTTCATCAATGAGCTTGACGCCTTGATAAGTTCCTTTCCTGAGGATGGCTCACCCCTCACAGTTCTGGGGGACTTCAACCTCCCTACATCTACCTTTGACTAATTTCTCTCTGCCTCCTTCTTTCTACTCCTCTCCTCTTTTGACCTCACCCTCTCACCGTCCCCCCCTACTCACAAGGCAGGCAATACGCTTGACCTCATCTTTACTAGATGCTGTTCTTCTACTAATCTCACTGCAACTCCCCTCCATGTCTCCGACCACTACTTTGTATCCTTTTCTCTCTCGCTCTCCTCCAACAGTACTCACTCTGCCCCTACTCAGATGGTAATGCGCCGTCGCAACCTTCGCTCTCTCTCTCCCGCTACTCTCTCCTCTTCCATCCTATCATCTCTTCCCTCTGCTCAATCCTTCTCCCTCCAATCTCCTGATTCTGCCTCCTCAACCCTCCTCTCCTCCCTTTCTGCACCCTTTGACTCTCTATGTCCCCTATCCTCCCGGCCGGCTCGGTCCTCCCCTCCAGCTCCGTGGCTTGATGACTCATTGCGAGCTCACAGAACAGGGCTCCGGGCATCCGAGGGGAAATGGAGGAAAACTAGACTCCCTGCGGACCTGGCATCTTTTCACTCCCTCCTCTCTACATTTTCTTCATCTGTTTCTGCTGCTAAGGCCACTTTCTACCATTCTAAATTCCAAGCATCTGCCTCTAACCCACGGAAGCTCTTTGCCACCTTCTCCTCCCTGCTGAATCCTCCCCCCCCCCTCTCTGTGGATGACTTTGTCAACCATTTTGAAAAGAAGGTTGACGACATCCGATCCTCGTTTGTTAAGTCAAATGACACTGCTGGTCCTGCTCACACTGCCCTACCCTATGCTTTGACTTCTTTCTCCCCTCTCTCTCCAGATAAAATCTTGCGACTTGTGACGGCCGGCCGCCCAACAACCTGCCCGCTTGACCCTATCCCCTCCTCTCTTCTCCAGACCATCTCCGGTGACCTTCTCCCTTACCTCACCTCGCTGATCAACTCATCCTTGACTGCTGGCTATGTCCCTTCCGTCTTCAAGAGAGCGAGAGTTGCACCCCTTCTCAAAAAACCAACACTCGATCCCTCTGATGTCAACAACTACAGACCAGTATCCCTTCTTTCTTTTCTCTCCAAAACTCTTGAGCGTGCCGTCTTTAGCCAACTCTCTTGCTATCTCTCTCAGAATGACCTTCTTGATCCAAACCAGTCAGGTTTCAAGACTGGTCATTCAACTGAGACTGCTCTTCTCTGTGTCACGGAGGCTCTCCGCACTGCTAAAGCTAACTCTCTCTCCTCTGCTCTTGTCCTTCTAGACCTGTATGCTGCCTTTGATACTGTGAACCATCAGATCCTCCTCTCCACCCTCTCCGAGCTGGGCATCTCCGGCGCGGCTCACTCTTGGATTGCGTCCTACCTGACCGGTCGCTCCTACCAAGTGGCGTGGCGAGAAGCTGTCTCCGCACCACGTGCTCTCACCACTGGTGTCCCCCAGGGCTCAGTTCTAGGCCCTCTCCTATTCTCGCTATACACCAAGTCACTTGGCTCTGTCATATCCTCACATGGCCTCTTCTATCATTGCTACGCAGACGACACAGAACTAATTTTCTCCTTTCCCCCTTCTGATAACCAGGTGGCGAATCGCATCTCTGCATGTCTGGCAGACATATCAGTGTGGATGACGGATCACCACCTCAAGCTGAACCTTGGCAAGACGGAGCTGCTCTTCCTCCCGGGGAAGGACTGCCCGTTCCATGATCTCGCTATCACGGTTGACAACTCCGTTGTGTCCTCCTCCCAGAGTACGAAGAGCCTTGGCGTGACCCTGGACAACACCCTGTCGTTCTCCGCTAACATCAAGGCGGTGACCCGATCCTGTAGGTTCATGCTCTACAACATTCGGAGAGTACGACCCTGCCTTACACAGGAAGCGGCACAGGTCCTAATCCAGGCACTTGTCATCTCCCGTCTGGATTACTGCAACTCGCTGTTGGCTGGGCTCCCTGCCTGTGCCATTAAACCCCTACAACTCATCCAGAATGCCGCAGCCCGTCTGGTGTTCAACCTTCCCAAGTTCTCTCACGTCACCCCGCTCCTCCGCACACTCCACTGGCTTCCAATTGAAGCTCGCATCTGCTACAAGACCATGGTGCTTGCCTACGGAGCTGTGAGGGGAACGGCACCTCCGTACCTTCAGGCTCTGATCAGTCCCTACACCCAAACGAGGGCATTGCGTTCATCCACCTCTGGCCTGCTGGCTCCCCTACCTCTGCGGAAGCATAGTTCCCGCTCAGCCCAGTCAAAACTGTTCGCTGCTCTTGCACCCCAATGGTGGAACAAGCTCCCTCACGACGCCAGGACAGCGGAGTCACTCACCACCTTCCGGAGACATTTGAAACCCCACCTCTTTAAGGAATAACTGGGATAGGATAAAGTAATCCTTCTACCACCCCCTTACCCCCCCCCCCCCCCCCCCCCCAAAAAAAAAGTGCTGAAAAAATTAGTCAGTCTGTCTCGGCGTGGCTTCAATATCATTGTGGGTCTATAAATCATATGACCCAGCCTCCTCTTTGCTAATTCTGCCACTAAGACATCATTACGTTTTTTCTCAATCGTGTACAAGCATTTTTGGAACAATGTTGTCATCACAATCCAATTCCATGTATTCAATACAAAGGTTGGTTTGCTCATAGTTTTGTAGACTTTCCATTGGCGCACAGAAACACAATCCACAACAGAAATAAGGAAAGGTGAATACAATAAAGGAAAACAACTGAAATGAATGCATTGGCCTACATCCACACACTAAAGCAAAGCTTTATAATGGAAGGTAACAATGTTGGAGATGATGACTTAAGAGTAACTCGAAGTTACGTAGAAGTAACCCAACTTCACTCACTGCATCTCTGCATATTGTAAAAAACTAAAAAAAACAATTAGACAGTCCCCATTGCCTAGATCTTTCCATATCTTGTACATCAGGGGTCCCCAACTACATTCAGTCGCGGGCCGATTTTTTCTTCAGCGGATGGTCATGGGGCCAGAACATAATTATAAATCATTTGTAGACTGCAAATTGACCGCAAGAAGCCCAAACAGATATAGTGTTTGACAAAAACATAATACTTTCAAATCTTGATTAATTGGGATACGTTCACATGTTTTTCTATTTATGTGATTAAATAAAAATCACTTTGAGCTGTTTCCTGGTGATTTTACAGTCTTAACTTAAGGGGCCAAATAAAATCACCTGCGGGCCAGATTCGGCGTGCGGGCAGCCAGTTGGGGAACCATGCTGTACATGGTATGACACTGATGGGATGACTTAGAATTTCGTGCAGTAGTATTTACTGATTGCCCGAAACAGTGAACACATTTGCACACCTTTCTCTTCTGATTAAAACAATGTGTTAATATTCTGTGAACAAAACACTTAACACTGAATTTGTATTCACTGATAACATTTGTATTTAATGTTTTGCAAAAGGTGATCTAAGATATGTAAGTCAGGTACTAAAGCAAGAAAATGATCAGATGTTCTGTAAATGTATTTGTGCAGTTGAACATAGCTGTTCTGCTACAGATACATTTCAACACAGATCACAAATGTGCTTGTACGCGATTGTGAAAATCTGTAATGTAATGCCCAAAACAAGCATATGGTGATGTCATAGTTGTAATGAATACTCGGACAGAGTGGTAAGATCCAATCGCAGAATAGCGATGCTTTATTAGAGTACAGACAAGGGAATAGCTTAATCGTGGTCGGGTGGGCTGTGGTCAAAACCGGGTCAGGCAGAGACAGGCAGAGGTACCAAGGGAGCGGGCTAGTCGTAGTCGAGGGCACAGGCACAGGATCAGAGGACGGTAATCACTGGGATAGACAAGCAGAGGATTAAGCAATTCGGGGAGTCAAACAACGAGGCACAGGTCAGGTACACGGGTAATCAAAACAACGAACTCTCTCTCTGAACAAAACGCTTAGCAAGTCACAATGGAACAATACCTCGCACCGACTGAACTTCTGAGCACACCTTATATCCTACACTAATTACTGACAGGTGTGCTCAGAACTCAGGTGAACCAGATCGAGTCTGATGACTCCCCCTCTCTGTAGATCGGGGAAGTGTCAGACTCTGTCTAGACCCAGCCAACCCCCGATCCCTTACAATAGCAATGATGTCATTTGCACTGTATATATTCGTCAAGACAGCATCCCTCCCTCAGCTTATATAGATACAGTGCCTTCAGAAAGTATTCACACCCCTTGACTTTTTCCACATTTTGTTGTGTTACAGCCTGAATTTAAAATGGATTAAATTGAGATGTTTGTCACTGGCCTACACACAATACCCCATTATGTCAATGTGGATGCTGTTTTTGTTTTTTTTAACAAATTAATTAAAAATGAAAAGCTGAAATGTTTTGAGTCAATAAGTAAGCAACCCCTTTCTTATGGCAAGCCTAAATAAGTTCAGGAGTAAAAATATGCTTAACAAGTCACATAATAAATTGCATGGAGTCCCTCTGTGCAATAATATTATTGAACATGATTTGTGAATGACTACCGCTTCTCTATACCCCACACATACAATTATCTGTAAGGTCCCTCAGTTATGCAATGAATTTCAAACACAGATTCAACCACAAAGACCAGGGAGGTTTCCCAACGCCACGCAAAGAAGGGCACCTATTGGTAGATGGGTTAAAAAAAATACAGACATTGAATATCCCTTTGAGCATGGTGAAGTTATTAATTACAATTTGGATGGTGTATCAATGCACCCAGTCACTACATAGATACAGGCAACCTTCCTAACTCAGTTGCCGGAGAGGAAGGAAACCGCTCAGGGATTTCACCATGAGGCCAATGGTGACTTTAAAACAGTTACAGAGTTTAATCGCTGTGATAGGAGCAAACTGTGGATGGATCAATAACGTTGTAGTTACGCCACAATACTAACCTAATTGACAGAGTGAAAAGACGATAGCCTGTACAGAATAAAAATATTCCAAAACATGCATCCTGTTTGCAACAAGGCACTAAAGTAATACTGCAAAAGAATGTGGCAAATAAATTAACTTTTTGAATACAAAGCCTTATGTTTGGAGCAAATCCAATACAACACATTACTGAGTCCCACTCAACATATTATCAAGCATACTGGTGGCTGCATCATGTTATGGGTATGCTTGTAATCGTTAAGGACTGGGGAGTTTTTTAGGATAAAAATAAATGGAATGGAGCTAAGCACAGGCAAAATCCTAGAGGAAAACCTGGTTCAGTCTGCTTTACAACAGACACTGGGAGATGAATTCACCTTTCAGCATGACAATAACCTAAAACACAAGGCCAAATCTACACTGGAGTTGCTTACCAAGAAGACAGTGAATGTTTCTGAATGGCAGTTACAGTTTTGACTTAAATCTACTTGAAAATCTATGGCAAGACCTGAAAATGGTTGTCTAGCAATGATCATGCATGAAGAATTTCGAAAATAATAATGGGCAAATATTGCACAATCCAGGTGTGGAAAGCTCTTATAGACTTACCCAGAAAGACTCACAGCTGTAATCGCTGCCAAAGATGCTTCTACAAAGTAGGGTGTGAATACTTATATCAATAGGATATTTCTTTATTTAATTTTCAATAATTTGTCAAACATTTCTAAAAACATGTTTTCACTTTGTCATTATGGGGTATTGTGTGTAGATGGGTGAGAAAAATATATATTTAATACATTTTGAATTCAGGCTGTAACACAACAACATGTGGAATAAGTCAAGGGGTATGCATACTTTCTGAAGGCACTGTATATCCCCCGTCTGTAATTTGTACAGTGAGGGGAAAAAGTATTTGATCCCCTGCTGATTTTCTACATTTGCCCACTGACAAAGAAATGATCAGTCTATAATTTTAATGGTAGGTTTATTTGAACAGTGAGAGACAGAACAACAACAACAACAAAATCCAGAAGAACGCATGTCAAAAATGTTATAAATTGATTTGCATTTTAATGAGGGAAATAAGTATTTGACCCCCTCTCAATCAGAAAGATTTCTGGCTCCCAGGTGTCTTTTATACAGGTAACGAGCTGAGATTAGGAGCACACTCTTAAAGGGAGTACTTCTAAATCTCAGCTAGTTACCTGTATAAAAGACACCTGTCCACAGAAGCAATCAATCAATCAGATTCCAAACTCTCCACCATGGCCAAGACCAAAGAGCTCTCCAAGGATGTCAGGGACAGGATTGTAGACCTACACAAGGCTGGAATGGGCTACAAGACCCTCACCAAACAGCTTGGTGAGAAGGTGACAACAGTTGGTGCGATTATTCGCAAATGGAAGAAACACAAAAGAACTGTCAATCTCCCTCGGCCTGGGGCTCCATGCAAGATCTCACCTCGTGGAGCTGCAATGATCATGAGAACGGTGAGGAATCAGCCCAGAACTACACGGGAGGATCTTGTCAATGATCTCAAGGCAGCTGGGACCATAGTCACCAAGAAAACAATTGGTAACACACTACGCCGTGAAGGACTGAAATCCTGCAGCGCCCGCAAGGTCCCCCTGCTCAAGAAAGCACATATACAGGGCCATCTGAAGTTTGCCAATGAACATCTGAATGATTCAGAGGAGAACTGGGTGAAAGTGTTGTGGTCAGATGAGACCAAAATCAAGCTCTTTGGCATCAACTCAACTCGCCATGTTTGGAGGAGGAGGAATGCTGCCTATGACCCCAAGAACACCATCCCCACCGTCAAACATGGAGGTGGAAACATTATGCTTTGGGGGTGTTTTTCTGCTAAGGGGACAGGACAACTTCACCGCATCAAAGGGATGATGGACAGGGCCATGTACCATCAAATCTTGGGTGAGAACCTCCTTCCCTCAGCCATGGCATTGAAAATGGGTCGTGGATGGGTATTCCAGCATGACAATGACCCAAAACACACGGCCAAGGCAACAAAGGAGTGGCTCAAGAAGAAGCACATTAAGGTCCTGGAGTGGTCTAGCCAGTCTCCAGACCTTTATCCCATAGAAAATCTGTGGAGGGAGCTGAAGGTTCGAGTTGCCAAACGTCAGCCTCGAAACCTTAATGACTTGGAGAAGATCTGCAAAGAGGAGTGGAACAAAATCCCTCCTGAGATGTGTGCAAACCTGGTGGCCAACTACAGGAAATGTCTGACTTCTGTGATTGCCAACAAGGGTTTTGCCACCAAGTACTAAGTCATGTTTTGCAGAGGGGTCAAATACTTATTTCCCTCATTAAAATGCAAATCAATTTATAACATTTTTGACATACATTTTTCTGGATTTTGTTGTTGTTATTCTGTCTCTCACTGTTCAAATAAACCTACCATTAAAATTATAGACTGATCATGTCTTTGTCAGTGGGCAAACGTACAAAATCAGCAGGGGATCAAATACTTTTTTCCCTCACTGTATGTTCCCACTGTAATGAGCCTATACTCCAAAGTGTTATGTTTTATGTTAATTGTTCCGATATTGTATATTCTGTATGATGTCTATGTTGCCTATGTTAGGTTAAAGCCTTATTCTAAAATGGATTACAAATAAATAAATAAAAGTCCTCATCAATCTACACACAATACCCGATAATGACAAAGCAAAAACAGGTTTTTAGAATATTTTTGCTAATTTATTGAAAATAAAAGACAGAAATTTCACATTTACATAAGTCTTCAGACCCTTTACTCAGTACTTTGTTGAAGCACCTTTGGCAGCAATTAAAGCCTAGAGTCTTCTTGGGTATGACGCCACAAGCTTGGCACACCTGTATTTGGGGAGTTTCTCCCATTCTTCTCTGCAGATCCTCTCAAGCTCTGTCAGGTTGGATGGGGAGCGTTGCAGCACAGCTATTTTAAAGGTCTCTCCAGAGATGTTCGATTGGGTTCAAGTCCGGGCTCTGGCTGGGCCACTCAAGGACATTCAGAGACTTGTCCCAAAGCCACTCCTGCGTTGTCTTGGCTGTGTGCTTAGGGTCGTTGTCCTGTTGGAAGGTGAACCTTCACCCCAGTCTGAGGTCCTGAGCGCTCTGGAGCAGGTTTTCATCAAGGATCTCTGTTGTTTTATACCCTAAACCTCCTTGACTTTTCTGAGCTCAAGGGGCTAAACTGAAGAGAATTCAGCTCCTGAGGAGATACTCATGTTCAGGAAATCAAACTCAAGCCCTGGATTACTGTAGAATCTATGAGTAAAAACAGACTCTTATCTTAAGTTAATTTCTCAGGTTAAAACAACACTCCTTCAGAGAACAGCAGCTAATAAGTGTTTAGGGGAAATGGAAAGTGTTGTAAACTAAGGTACCGTAAAACTTCAATTAATAGCCTGGGCGTTTATTTGCTTAAATCACTGAACACAATAGGCGCTTATTACAGACAGGCTTCTATTTGAGCTTTTGCTCATTTGCATAGTTAATGTTTTAATTCCAGCATTCACTTCCTGCATTTTAATCAATTTCTTCATTTCCTGCACTAATGTGTTATCATTTACACAGTGTCATGTTTCTTTTGTCTTAGTATGCCTATATTAAAAAAGATATATATAAAAATTCCTTGACTGAATAATGATTCTCCTCTTTGACTCCTCTTTGACTGTCAGAGGAAGGCCCAAAAAATTGTGAAAGACTCCAGTCACCCAAGTCATAGACTGTTCTCTCTGCTACTACACGGCAAGCGGTACCAGAGTCTAGGTCCAAAAGGCTCCTTAACAGCTTCTACCCCCTAGCCATAAGGCTGCTGAACAATTAATCAAATGGCCACCCAAACTATTTACATTGACATCCCCACCCCCCTTTGTTTTTACACTGCTGCTACTCGCTGTTTATTATCTATGCATAGTCACTTTACCCCTACCTACATGTACAAATTACCTTGACTAACCTGTACCCCCGCACATTGACTGGGTACCGGTACCCCCTGTATATAGCCTCGGTATTGTTATTGTATTGTGTTACTTTTTATTTTATTTTTTACTTTAGTTTATTTAGTAAATATTTTCTTAACTCTATTTATTGAACTGCATTGTTGGTTAAGGGCTTGTAAGTAAGCATTTCACGGTAAGGCACATGTGACAAATACAATTTGATTTCATTAGATTTTTGGCAGTTCTTACTTTTGCCACTAGAAGGCGATCGGCCGATTTCTAGGGCTCTGTACTCCCGAAGTTGTTGACTGTTTTTGTGCATGTCAGTTAGCTAGCAGTTCTCAGCTGTTAGGAGCCAATGGCTAACAGTTTATTACTGGCCAAAAAAATAGGATGATTGCCATAATTCTTTCCAGTCATTACTGAATTATTGAATGTAACAAATCAAACATTAAACCTCGTAAACAATTCATGGTAATTCATGGTAACTTTGTAAACAATTACGGTAATTTTGTCACGCCCTGGCTCTGGGGACTCTTGTATGTTGAGCCAGGGTGTTAGTTTCTTTGTGTAGTGTCTATGTTTCGTTTCCTATGTTCTGTTCTAGGTTATGTGTTTCTATGTTGGCCGGGGTGGTTCTCAATCAGAGGCAACGACAATCAGCTGTTGCTTGTTGTCTCTGATTGGGAACCATACTTAGGCAGCTTTTTGTGCACTTGTGATTCGTGGGATCTTGTTCCGTGTAGGTTTGTGTATGACCGAGGACTTCACGTTTCGTTTTGTTGTTTTGTTATTTGTATCGTGTTGCTAAGTACACTATTAAAGAGATGTACGCATATCACGCTGCGCCTTGGTCCACTCATTATGACGATTGTGACAAATTTAGACCCGCCATTTATTTGAAACAGCCATTTATTTGCTGAAATGTGTACCGTTGCCCGGCTATTAAAATGAGACTTGCCATTTAATTTAAGTTTTACAGTATGCATGCGTGTGTGTGTTGGGAGGGGGGGGGTTAACAGTGAGAGTGATGGGATCTGCTGACTTTATTCAACTTAAAGGAGAGGAATGTTAGTTACAGTCGTGAAATAGATGCACAGTAGCTACAGGAACACACAAAAACACCTAAATAAAACAAGAAGACCACAAAAAACTATAACAAAGTAGAGAGATACAGAGAGTTAAAGCATCTATCCAACATCTTTAGGCTGAGAGAGGGGGGAGGAAGGGGCGAGAAAGGTGGAACTCCCTGAGGGGGAGACAGACAGGGAGTTGGGGGTGAGAGAGTTAAGGGCCTTCACCCCATAGGCAGGCTTCCTCCTCAGGAAGCATAAGCCCTTGGCCTTGGGAACAATGCAGGCGGTTGTGGGATATCAGGAATCTTTCTCTGGAATGCCAGTCTGAGTCACGGTTCCCTTCCCGCCACAGCTGTCCTCCAGTGGCACAGTTACTTGCCAAAGCTAACACAGCCAACCAGCAGGCACCGGGGAAGACACAAGCCAACCCAGGCCAGGCTAGCACAGAGCATAGCATCACAGTAGAGCTGAGCACAGTTCAATGCCATACCACACACTGTGCACTCTCTCACTCTGGGAAACCAGCACTACAATACAAACGCTATACAAAGAAATAAGCTGTTTTTCTCACTGGCTGCTGTGCCCTTCTGTCTCTCTCTCTCTCTCACTCTCTCTCTCTCTCGCTCTCCCCCTCCCTCCCTCCCTCCCACCATCCCTCCCTCTCTCAGGCAGCACTCAGGCAGTGAGATTCTTTCTCACGCACCTCCAACAGTGTGTCAGCCCAAATCACACCTCACCTAAACCAACCTGGGCCACACAGCACAGCACAGTATAACATAGTAGAGCACGGCACAGTACAGTACAGCTATAGACCCCAAAGCACTCAATGTACCGTGGATAGAGGGATTATTAAGCCCACAGGGGCAGAGGTAGAGTGAGATAATTAGAGAGAGGGGGAAAGAGAGAGAGAGAAAGAGAGACAGAGACAGAGTGAGAATGAAGAAGAGAGAGAGAGAGAGAGAAAGAGAGAGAGAGAGAGAGATAGAGAGAGAGAGATAGAGAGAGAGAGAGAGAGAGAGGATGATATGAGAGATAGAGAGAGATATGAAAACAGAGAGATAGAGAGAGAGAGAGAAGAGAGAACATCTCGTCAGCAGTCAGCGCCAGTTTCTCTCATTAGTGAGATTAGACCCCGAGATAGCTGCCTTGTCCCAGACCAGGACACCCATCTGCGCCTGTCAACGCTTCGTCTGCTACCCCCCTCGCCCCTCCCTACCCTCCTGTCTGTACCCCTTCAACCCTCCTCCCCTCTCAGCCCCACATCTGGCTAGGAGAGTGTGCAGCTAAGGCAACATCTCAGTGCAGACGGCTATGGAAACGGTGTCTGACATAAGACAATGCACGTGTGGATTGATTAAAAGTGTGTTGACAGATTAAAAGAGCAAGACCTTTGGTTGATCTGTCTGTCTGTCTGTCCATCCGTCTGTCTCTACCCACTCAAAAACATCTTCCCTGACAAAGTACACCCCCCCCACTAGCCCAAGCTGAAGGGGCCCAGACAAGGCTCAGCCACAGCCTCTGCTTTTGTAAAAGGAGAACAAAGTATGAGTGGAAACTAAAGGCTGGGGCTCAGACCAGGTGGCTAGAAGCCCTTTCAGTATCTCTGTCTCCCTGACACCTCAGCCCTTGATCTGATTTCTGGGTTGGACACAGAGAGGGGAAAGAAAGGAGAGGTTAGGAAGGAATGGACCGAGTCGGAGCGAGAGATAGGCCCTTTCAATGGACCCATACCTGACCTACAGTATAACACACACACGGCAAGGCATAACACACACACACACACACCTTCCAGACACATTTACAACATGAGGCACTGGCTTGCCATGTAAATGTGCTTAGCTGATGTCAGTTACTCTTATTTTCAAAGTCTATACTTGCTCCCCTGGCTTGGCACAAAGACACCAAGATAACAGCGTTACAGAAAACCATAAAGGGGAACTACGTAAACTATACACCTGTGAATACCACGTCTGTGCTTTATCTGCTTTCCATAGAACAATCTTCTTCTTATCTGGGATCACAGATTCACATAGTTGAGAACCAGTTTGTAAGGCAGACCCAGGAATGATTTTTAAAAAAAATCCCATTGTAAAAGCATGTAGAAACCCATAAGGCATTTCATGGGGTGTCACTGTACACTAGTGTTCCAAGGTATACCGGTACTTTTTCGATACCAAAAAATAAATACATTTGATACTAGAATTTTGTTACATTCGGTACTTCTGTCAAATGTGTTTTTCGTCATTGACAGGATAAAGTCTGTCTATCAGCGTAGCCGCTTTAAAGCGCTAAGAGCAAAGTGCCTGCTCCACTTACTCATTCATTGCTAGAGCTGTCTGGCTGCATTGTTAGCTCCCCACTCATGCTGCACAGAAATTAACACACTTAAATAATGCAACATGGTATGTAGAAATGTTTAAACTGTTCAGAACACTTTTACAATGCAAGACGATGCCGGTTGCTTTCAGCTTTATTTGTAGGCTAACTTTCCTTGCTAGCTTACAGCTGAATTCACTACTCTAGTACTATGTTTGTGATAATATGCAAGCCATAACACAAAATATGCTGATTTCAAAGCTGATTGTCACCAAAAACTTTATTAATTGACTTTGTCTCCTTCGCCACCAAAAAGTAATTCACTTCTCGTCTCCCTCGCCTCCTGTCTGGTTTCCACTAGATTCCATAGCCACAAAGTCAGATTCCACAGCCATGTTCTACTTTGTGAATGATGTCATTACTTTCTTAAAGAGACAGCATACACTTTTATAAAAGAAGAGATCGCTTCTTCTATGCAAATGTTATTGATCAGTACAATAAAAGTATATGTTCTCCTAGCAGTTGCCAATAAAATAAGTCCTAAATGGGAGGTATTGTTTGTCATCTGTAGCCCCATGAAATCAGCTAAAACAAGCTCAATAACTGAATGCATGCACACACTCCTATTGAATAATATGAATTCACCTGTATTGTGAATAGACCTAGGCTACATCTTAATTTACCCAGTTTATCAATAGAGATTTAACATTCAAATAAATTATTACCATTATGTTGTTTTGTAGTTATATTGGTAAAAAAACAAAGTCAAATATATTGTATGATTGTATCATTTATTAAATAATGCATACATGGCTGTATGTAATGATATTGAAGATGCCCAACAATTGAATAGAGCAGTAGCTGAGTTTATCTGTCTGGATGAAGTGCCATTCTGTGACTTTGGCTAATACGCCTTCTTTTTTTTGTTGTGGTATCGTTTTGGTATCGTGATGGTATCGAGTATCATGATACTAAACCTGGTATCAGTATCGAAGTCAAAATTCTGGTATCGTGACAACATTACTGTACACGTTCTGAAACAAGATGGCGACCACCGGGCCGGCTCTCGTCCGTCACACTTCTGAGCCCCTTGGGCAAGAACCAACAGGCCTAAGAAAGGAAGCGCCTAGGAGTCCTACAGTGTCTAATGCTATGGAAAGTGGAAACACACACACACATACCGCACCAGCAGACAAAGTTGAAACACAACTATGCCCCCCAAATGGTGATCCATCCATCATGAATATAGCGCCCCTTACAAGGTATTTAGACAGAGCCAAGCAGGCCTCCCACAGGCCTCCAGAAGCTTCTGACAGCCTGGTCCCTGAGGTAGGGGGTGAGGTGATTGAGGTAGAGGGTAAGGGAGTTCCAGTAGCTGTGTGGCTTACTGTACTGTAGCAATAGAGCAGGACCTGAAGCAACAGGATGAGAAATGGGAGAGAGAGATGATAGATTAGAGATACTAGAGAGAGAGAGAGAGTGTGATATAGATGAGCGAGTATAGAGATAGAGCTGAGCGAGATATAATCGCTAGAGATAGAGAGAGATAGAGATACGAGAGATAAAGATAGGTAATTCTAGTGTTAAACTGGCAGGTCTCTCTCTAGCTGTTCCCTTATGCCCTAAAGACTAGTGTGGGCTCTGAGCCATAAATCACACTGAATAGTGGTTCAGAACTATCACACTCTGGGCTAGAGCAACAGCCAACACTACACTACCAACCTGCTCTAACACACAGACACCACAGAAGATAAGTTATTACATTTATTACAATGATATGCAGATAAATAATAATAATATGCCATTTAGCAGACACTTTTATCCAAAGCGACTTACAGTCATGCGTGCATACATTTTTGTGTATGGGTGGTCCCGGGGATCGAACCCACTACCTTGGCGTTACAAGCGCCATGCTCTACCAGCTGAGCTACAGAGGACCACATGTATTTAGATAGTCCCTATAACAACATTTTTCAACACAGCGATGGTACTAATGGTATAATCTAGGAGTGAAGGCCAAAATCCAACTGGCAAAGGATGCTACTGGAGCTGCCTGGAAATAACTTTTTTCTAATGTAACTAACGGGGCAGAAAGATTGTTCTACTGAATGGAAAAAGGAGGATCTGAGGGCAAAACCAATCCAACCGAAACTATCAGTCACAGTGTATCATGATCCAGTTTTGTGTGAGAGTATTAGTGGTCGAACCAGAAGGCGTACTATCTGGCAGTGAGAGCTATAAGAATCTCAACTCTTGGAGCAGTAGGAATATCTCATCTGATATGATGTTTAAAACCATCTGTTGATGAAAATGTGGAGTTGCCTGACAAAAACACTTTTGAGGATGAAAACACAATGGTTGTTTGCTGAGAAGTGCCACACACTTCAGTTCACCAATAGAGTATAGGAATGTGTAGATGGATAACAACACATTAGTAATACGGGGGTGGGGGGGCAGTCACTAAAGCCAGGCAGCTCAGCTGAGTTACAAAGTGATATGAAGGAGGAGATGTAGGCTATGGCTGTGAGAAATGTATTTATATTGGTGCACAAAGCGGTGGTTTTAGGGCAGAAACCCCAGTGGAAAACAAAAGTGCGTATGAACAATGGATATTTGGTCACTTTGTTGCCAATAGTAGGAGTGCGACCTGTCCTGACATGTTCTGAGCAGTGCGGCCTGTCCTCACATGCCCCCCCCCACAGAGGCTGCGGATCTGTAGGTAACACAGTGTTGTTTCAAATGATGTACAGTGAGCAAATTTTAGAGCAGATGGTGTTAATAAACTTCTAGCATAGGCTACCTGTGTTTTGTTTCAATCAAAGCAAAAATGTGATCTAGTGGCATGCTGTTGAGTTGTGGCCGCATGATAATATGCCATTTAGCAGACGCTTTTATCCAAAGCGACTTACAGTCATGTGAGCATACATTTTTACGTATGGGTGGTCCCGGGGATCGATCCCACTACCCTGGCATTACAAGCGCCATGCTCTACCAATTGAGCTACAGAGGACCACGCATGAGAGAACAATCATCCTAAAATCTCATTAGAAATTAGGTGTTTCTTTGTCTTACAGTAAAATTATAATATGCTATTATATTCGGTTCTGTTATGTACAATGCTATCATTATGTGATCTTGCAGACATTGATTCAGCTTTGATCTAACTATTAAACAAGCACCATTCACCAGAGTTGCCTGTTCTCTACGAGTAGCACATGCTTCGGGACCTTTAGCAGTTGGGAAGAAAGGTCCAGAAAAGTCGGATCTGCAGCCACTCTGTAAAATAAAAATGGAGACCCACACTACTTACTGTTGCCGTCATCTTGTCACTCTCCACCATGATGGCTGAAGAATACTTGTTGGATGGCATTACTGTTGCAGTTAACTTCGTCAATGATTGTTATTTTGTTTCTCTTCTAACCTAGAGGCAAAACAAACAAGGCAATGCAGTAGTTAGGAGAGTGCATGAAACAGTACATTTAAATGTGCAATATTTAATGCATAAAAAAATATACATACATTTCCCAATCTTCCCTCACTTTAAAAGCTTTGCAAAGTAAACAGATACAGAATCTTGAGTCAAAGCTTCTTCTCCTTTGGGGAGTCCTGAATCTACTCAAGTACAACCTGCTCTTATCCAAATTATGCTTTTCCACATTGGAAAAGAGCGAACCTGAACACACTCCTGAACACACTAAAAAACCACTTTTCCCAGAGGTATTCATCATCTAATCACTGTAATCAACCAAAATCACACTGAATCACTAGCTAAGTGATTGCTTGAACATGTATTACTATTAGGGCTGTCCCCGACCCAAAAAATATATTGGTAGACCGAAAGTCGTCTGTTCTTTTGACCAATCGATTGGTTGAAAACATTTTACGTGTATTTTTCCATATACAGTGAGGGAAAAAAGTATTTGATTCCCTGCTGATTTTGTACGTTTGCCCACTGACAAAAACATGATCAGTCTATAATTTTAATGGTAGGTTTATTTGAACAGTGAGAGACAGAATAACAACAAAAGAATCCAGAAAAACGCATGTCAAAAATTGTATACATTGATTTGCATTTTCATGAGGGAATAAGTATTTGACCCCTCTGCAAAACATGACTTAGTCCTTGGTGGCAAAACCCTTGTTGGCAATCACAGAGGTCAGACGTTTCTTGTAGTTGGCCACCAGGTCTGCACACATCTCAGGAGGGATTTTGTCCCACTCCTCTTTGCAGATCTGCTCCAAGTCATTAAGGTTTCAAGGCTGACGTTTGGCAACTCCAACCGGCCACTCCAGGACCTTAATGTGCTTCTTCTTGAGCCACTCCTTTGTTGCCTTGGCCATGTGTTTATGGTCATTGTCATGCTGGAATACACATCCACGACCCATTTTCAATGCCCTGGCTGAGGGAAGGAGGTTCTCAGCCAAGATTTGACGGTACATGGCCCCGTCCATCGTCCCTTTGATGCGGTGAAGTTGTCCTGTCCCCTTAGCAGAAAAACACCCCCAAAGCATAATGTTTCCACCTCCATGTTTGACGGTGGGGATGGTGTTCTTGGGGTCATAGGCAGCATTCCTCCTCCTCAAACACGGCGAGTTGAGTTGATGCCAAAGAGCTCGATTTTGGTCTCATCTGACCACAACACTTTCACCCAGTTCTCCTCTGAATCATTCAGATGTTCATTGGCAAACTTCAGACGGGCCTGTATATGTGCTTTCTTGAGCAGGGGGACCTTGCGGGCGCTGCAGGATTTCAGTCCTTATTTATGTCACTGGTGGGTGCCAGAAGGTATGCGTGCCAAGATAGCTTGGGGGCCACTTGTGCTAATCTTAGAAGGAGTATGTGATGGAATAGCCTGGCTAGGGTGCCACACGATACCATGTAGGGGGATCCTATTGTAGGAGATGAGTGACACTCAATAATGGTTGGCAACTGTTGGATGGAAGTAGCTCGGAAAGCATTATATAAACTGATAGGTTTTCTATGTAAGTCCTTCGGATGACAATAGGCTACGCCCGTACCGCTTGTCATATGAATCCAGTACTGTAACTATTAAATAACTATGAATCCACTCTCCATCTAAGTGTTTAACTATTCTCTTACATCCTGAAGTACGAGATACCAGAGAAACTCGTCATAACAGATTGGCGTCTAAACGAACAGGATGCAGTTTACAGCCGAACTAACAGGTAAGCAGACTTTTTTATTAGGTTAAATTCTGCTTATCTGTGGTAAAGCTGAGCTGTAACGAACGTTTAAAATTCAATATTTTTTTGAGGGGAACAGATAAGTGGTATTCAAGTACGTAAATAGATGTAAGGAGAAATATCAAATTAGACAATGACATGGTGCTATGATTCTAAACAGGGTTTGTTCAGAGTAATGAGTAGAAAACAACAGAGGAGAAGGAGAGTGGGTTTAACAAGATTGGGCGTAGGGTCTTCCAATGGGCACAACAGTATAAAGATAGGTTTGAGTCCTATAATGTGAAAAAACATTATAAACTTGTTCAGAGGTTTGAGTCCTCAATATGACGAGATTATAAAGTGTGATAAAATAGGTTTGAGTCCTATGGTGTGAAAAGCATGTCAGAGGTTCGAGTCCTCAATGTGATAAAATAGGTTTGAGTCCTATGGTGTAAAATAATCATCATAAAGTGTTAGATGTGAAGAGGTTCAAGGCCTCAACCGTGTTATTAAAGCCATATGAGAAAATGAGTCCTTTGTGAAATTACTCAAAACGGTCAGGAAAGAGAGAGAGAACAATAACTCATACTGCATAAAGGAATCAGAGCAGATACAATTAAGCATGTTGAATCATGGCACCAATGACAAAATAGGCAAAGAACATTTTAATAAAGATCAAGTTGGGGATTTGATTCAAGTATGTGATTACTAATATTGCATGAATTAATAAAAGTAATGGATAGCCAACTTAGTAGACCGGTATTGGGAAAGACAGTCACCATTAAGATTAAATCAGAGCTTCATTTACCTCGAAGAGAGAGAAAGGAAATGACGAAATTATTACAGACAAATCAGAATTTAAAACAAGTCTCTTTTAAAAGTAGTGAAAATCAGACATTGTGCGAATGGATGTTAAGTAAATTAGGATTTTTCTATGGGGAACAATATATCAGTGATTTATCAGCATGGACAGATAATGAATATCCTAAAGAAGATATTTTTAAAAGGGATAGGTTAAAGAAAGTCAGCTAACGAAGTTAAGTAATTGAAGGGAACAAAATATTATGAACAAAGAGCTGAAAGTAATTTTAATCTGAAGGGTGCATAATAAATTATATGAATGTGTATGATAATTTTATGTAAATGTGGATAATAAGCTTTGATATAACATTATATTGTGGTTCCGTACATCAATGCCCATCATATAATATCAAGGAGTGGTATGG